ATTAATCTACATTGCTATATAATGTGCTGAGATTTATAGTCCCTCTACAGCTTGGAGTCAGTGGCAGAACTACCAGGGTCGCAGCGGTAGTGTAGCGTACTGATGAGGCATCCCTCCGCTACCGGTGTGCTATAATTTTCCTCAACCCAGAAATGTATCTACCGCGTCACTTCCAGGTGCGCATATGCATGAAGAAAGGGGCCATGAAAAAATCTGATTCGGATGATGCGGCCCCACCGTAAGTGACGCAGTCGAGAAAATTTATGGGGTCAAGAAAAATTATAGAACACTGACTTTGACACTGTCCGGCTCCTCCCCCTATCCTCACAACAGCTCACAGCCTAGAAGTCCGGCGGCCTACATTGGGTGAGAGTGCCTAAGTACCGGACATAGAGCGGAGTAAGGCCAGAACCATGTAGGGACCCCAGCAGGAGGAGAGTGCCATCCCCCAGCCAGTCGCCCCTTTCATGGACTTCCTAGTGAGTCCTCACATCACCCAAGCATTCACACTACCATTACATGGATGGCAAAGGTGGCAGGTGGGGGCAGGGGAAGAGTCGGAGGGGGGCCAAGTCGTTGCACCACGAGCAAAGGATGACAAATGCATGATCAGAGGCTACCATAATTGGAAACATGTCAAAACAATTAGTAGATCCAGAGATATAGGTAACTTAAGTTATAAATAAAACTCTAAAAAAACAGTTTTTCCTGTAAAAGTCAACATGTTCTTTACAGTAATGTGATGTCTGGCTTCACTGGCTCAGGAGGGGAAAAAATCAGTTCCAGTTTGGCTTGTAAAGGCAAAATGGAGTAACATTGTTATCAGCTTTATTCTTGTGAGTGGTGTTAAGTAACAGATGATTAAAATGTACATATAGCCAAAACTTAATTTTGTTTTATATCAAACACAATGGGGTCTATTTATACCCAATTTGCAGAGCCATTGGCCCTACAAATCTTTCTGAACATCCATTCTTTGCAAATAGGAGCAAAAATAAACATTCTTAGGGTATATTTTCTGTTCAGGTGGAATGCATGTAATGCAATAGTGCATTATGGCCACTAGATTGAGCTGAGGACCATAGGAAATAAATACATATCAACACATCTAAGGACTGTGTGAGGACACTACTGTATATTACAGTTTTATTCTTGGGTTTGATTATATTTTAAAACAGTTGTCCTCATAAACATTCTCCTGTCTGCACGCATCTCTCATTTTGTCCTTTCTCCTGCAGTTACATAGGTGCCTGTGAGTAGAATTTGGGGCCTGCACTTATACTGCTGGATCATTGCATCCAGAAACAGTATCTACAATTTAAAGGTGATGTTCATGGAGGTGTGCACAACTATGAACTATGTTGTAATAATAAATATCCGCACTTACGCTGCCTTATTTACTCTGACAGCATGGCATCCCTGCCTTCTATACTTAAGTAAGTAATCATATTGCTTGTCATATTACTAAAAAGTGACCCTATCAGGAAACTTAAATTAGCCAAAAAGCTCTCCCTCCAAATGAGTTCTGCTGCCTCCGCCACCACATTCTGCTCCTTTGAAGTCTACTGAGAAACCAATAACTTTGTGAGTGTTGAACTCTGGCTCCCCTACTGCACAATGTGTCCTGTATTGATGTGAAGGTTGATGGGAGGAGCCGCTGAACGTGGCAAGGGACCACAAGATCACTTTTTAAAGTGTAAGTGTCTTAAACATGGGGGAAACAATACAATGTTCAGGATTGTGCTTAGTTACATAACAATCATACACAATATTTTCTCATACATAATAGCACTTATTTAAGCTAGGTCTTTATAACTACTGCTGTATATGACAAATATATGTATTGCTCATGATAAGAGGTTTCAAGAGGCTGTTAAAAAACCCGATAAGTATATGTTACATGAATGAAAATACAGCATAGTCAAAGTGAAGAGAGAAGAAGCTACAGAGAAGGAGGGCACCAATGTTAAAAGCAGGTGGAAGGTTTCACAGAGCATTACCAGCTTTCTCTATATCTCTTCCCATCATAACAGCTACACCTGGTTTACCAAACTTTCCAAACCATGACCTTCTACTACTGGCGATGTAATAAGTAAACAAAACTGAGAAGAGTTTACACAATGAATACGTGGCAGTTATATTTTACATTTTAAAAAATGCTAAGAACACAGCACTGAGGGCAATAACAAAAAGGAGCTAGCGGTTTACTTTTAACTACTCTTTCCTACTCTATCTAAAAAAAGGTGTGGGCTGGAGTTCCACTCCATACTAATTTTAATATATGATTCCATTTCTACTTTTTCAGTTTCACCTTGAAAAAAACATGGCTCATTACTCTGGAAATTATATGGCACGGTGTGATTGGAAATGCTAATCAGTTAGCTACATTTTGGGAAAATCCCCAAATTGAAAAGAACAAAGTTGGCAGATTTCCTGGCTTTTTTAGACATGCTAATTAATTAATTTGAATTCTAATAATTTCTTTCACTAAATGATTCCAGAGACTGCATGACAAGCTGAACCTCATCAAAGGTAATTTAAACATTTTTGGAAGTCCTGCTTTTACTCTTTAAAGTGACACTAAACTCAGGACTTAAACCTAAAAAATGCACTCAGGTACCTGAATATTAACACAAATGTATCTTATTTGTGTATCACTCAGATGTAGATCCTCAAATAATCTCTGAATTGGTGCTGACACTGTCCTCCCTTCTGGTGGGTGACTAGTTTTGTTCCCCATGGTCCCTGTGTCTGTTGTAAAGTAGCCATTGCCCCACGCTTGCTCATGTGATGGACTACAATCTCAATAGTCATAGCAATAATATGCTGGTATGCACAGCATATGAGCACATTATGGCAGACTTCATGCCAAACCAAACCTCTCCAGCACTGCCTTGCTGGCGCTTCCATCTTCCCCCCATCATTTTCTGGGTTTCGTGTCTTTAGCCACATCATTGGCCGGGCCCCATGACATGACTCCAGCACATGTGTAATGAGAGTTATTTCAACTCGGCATGCTGGGTCTGTAAATGGAGCTGAGCATATGCAGCTCAGGGTACGGAAAAAACAAATTGCTAAATGGGAGCAAGAAGAGGAATTTTTTACTTTACTTCCACTTTAAAGTGGAAATCCGGTTTTGTTTTGTTTTTTAGATAGGAGAAGGATAGCTTTATGCTTTGTCAGAATTCAATGCTGTGTTTGTCCTCAGCAGGAACGTTTACTTTTACAATCTCTCAAAAGTGAGGGAGACAAACGCCTCATTCACACGGGGTATTCTGAAATCTACTTATTACACCATTCCACTGAAGTTAATGACCGGGTAACAGCGGCCACACCTGTAAGCGGAAGTCAGCATGTAGTCCAGATGGTACAATTACATGCGGTTTGGAATAGATGATTGTCACTGGACGTGGGATAGTACATCCAGCAACAGAAATCTATTCAAAACCGCATGTAATTGTATCCTATACAAATACATGAGGACTGCAGCTTACAGATGTAGCAGCTGACATCCTGTCATTTACTTGAACGGGCACAGCAGCCGCATCTGAATGAGACATCTAAGATTCCTGCCGGAAGAATCCGTAGGTTCCTGCCACGAGCATCCCAGATCGCCCGGTTTGAATGAGGCCTAATGGAGGATCTAAACCCTTTCCCGCTCTATCCAAAATAAGTGTTGTCTGGAGTCATAATTTAGGCGTCCTCTACTCAAGAATATATTATTTCCAATAATACGCTATATATTGCAGTTCTATGGTTCTAAGGTGGAGGCTCACTCTAAACCTGCCATTTCCATGGCTTTGATGTCTCAGCAGAAGGAATTGAAGCTTATCAAAATCTAATCTATTTTGAACAGGGCTGCATAAACAAAACATGAAAGCATTGCCAAAAAGTAATGTATGTAAATCAGGGGGTTTTCTCAGTAGTATCACTAAAGTCTGTATCATGTCAATCACTGTGCACATTTCTTGTTACCTGTGCTGCCAATGATGATATATAGCAACATAGAAGAAGGAGGAGATACAGACCAGTTGCAACAGTTAACTACTGACTAGATAAATACAAAGGCCAACCCCGGCTATACCTCCAACCTTGTCTTAAAGTATCACCTTAACCATCCCCTCCGCTCTTCCAAAGACCTCCTGCTCTCTAGCTACCTCATCAACTCCTCCCATGCTCACCTCCAGGACTTTTCTAGAGTCTCTCCCATCCTCTGGAACTCCTTACATCAACCTGTCCATCTATCTCCTACTCTTGACTGCCTTTAGGCGATCCCTAAAGACTCATCTCTTCAGGGAAGCCTATCCCGCCTCAAAACTAAACACTCAACCATCACGTTCTCAAACACTTCATCCCCACACAGCTACCTCCTCTTGTAACACTTGCCCCTACCTTTTAAATTGTAAGCTCTCACGGGCATGGCCCTCCTTACCATCTTGTCTTGAATTGTATTGTGATTGTAATGTCTTCCTTATATTGTAAAGCGCTGTGCAAACTGTTGGTGCTATATAAATCCTGTATAATAATAATAACCAGTAAAATGAAAGTTAAAATGCAACGCACTTTGCCGCCATGTTTGTGTTTGGTATATCTACTGTGCATCCCAGTTCTAGATTGGACAGGGTGACCATGTTAAACGTGAGGAAATGTCTGAAGTTATTCAGTCAAGAGGAATAAAAACAAAGCAAAGTTTTAATCTAATGCGTTCGTACTTTGGGCTCCCAGAAACACAATTTGTGGTATCTAAATTTTCACATTACAGATGTTTTTTTCAGTTCACAGAGAAACCTTTCTATGCACCCAGGCCAAAAACAAAAGGGAAAGAGTCCCAGAAAATCTCAAGTTAATCTCCAAACCCCGGTGAAAGCCCTGTCATAAAAAGTCTGAAAAGATCAGATCCACGCTTAAACAGCTAGACGTTTGTCTCATACATGGCATATAAGAATAATTTGTGTACACAGATATTTGCCATGTATTATGAAACATATTGCCGTACTCACCCGAGAAGCAGTTCAGGTGAACGATACCACCGAGTGGCCACATACTCAGTGTAATTTGCATTGCTGCCTTCAGATAAATTCCGGGCAAAACCTGGCAATATAACATAGCAGACTTAGCAAAAACAGGGCAATAATACATCTACAGTTATGCACTTCACATATAAGGAGTCCTTGTTAACGCTAATGTCACACTTGCAACAAACTAGCGATCTTGTCATTGGTGAGAACTCACCAGTGGCAGGATTGATTTGGAGGACATGCGGCAATAAAACATTCATCTGGTGGCATGTGCCACTTCCTCCCTGGCTGGATAAACTAGGCATCACTCTTTTACCAATGACTTAATGTATATTTCCACTTTGCAGCCAAATTAGAATAACACCTATTTTATATTTGGGGTGCCAGTAGTTTGTGCTCAATGTGCTGACACAATTTCAATTAGCCCTGTGAATATGGAATTCCTTGTGTTACAGCTCTCACAGTGTCTGCCTTCTGTACAAGTCAATGTCTGAACAATGTAACATTATCATTGCTTGCTGGAATCAATGCATGATGGGATATGTCATCGTGGGAAATTGAGATTGCATCACATCAAGCAGCAGTATAGAGATGCAAAGCACACTGGGAATCCAGGAAGTTGATGAAAGTTATGGACAGACAGAAGGCAGCACTCACTACATAAAAGGGATTTTTTCAAGTAAGATTTGATTGTATTATCAAAAATAAACTAGTATGTATTCCTATTACAATGCTGATGTTATAAAAGGATAGTTTATGCTGGGACTTTATGCCTTTAAGCTACAATCCCAGATGTCATCAGCAGGTGGCACTGAAATCTAAAATCTGTTTTACGGCTCAGTAAAATTTTGAAGCTTTTGAAGTGAACCACTCCATATTATTACTCATTTATGTGAGATTAGTGGATTTCCTTATAAACTTCACATTCCTCTTAACAATTTGAGTGCGGCTGTACAGGATACAGGAAGCTAAAATGATGGCAAATTAAAAAGCATCTCAAGTAAAACAACAAACATTGTAACATATTGCAGCTAACCAGTCCTTAGATGTGGTGACTGCACTAGTTTCCTTTTTAAGGTTATTTTGTTCCCTATATTTTAACTGGTCATCCTGCCAGTAGCACACTTCCTGTCCTAGGGTGATGATGTTCTTAATGAATCAATACTTGAATTAATTGCGGTTATTTATGACTGTTTGGAGTTTAGCTTTAATATCTAGAAAATCGATTTGTTGTAAAATTCAATCTCAGTTTAATGGGACTTTTTCAACTGTTCTAGGCAGCATGCCAAATCAAAAGACTATTAAGATCACCAAGCCAAAAAAGAAAGAAGAAATTGATACAGAACTTGTCAAAGAGATCAGACTGATATGATATTAGAAGTTTTAAACTGCTGGATAAAAAAGTGAAATCATTTTAATCTAAAGATCTGAAATACACAGCTTTTTAAATGTGTACTGGAACAGTTGTATATAATCTGAGCAGAGAAGTAAAATGGAATAACTAGAAAATTGTGCCCGTTCTTAGAATGGATAATTCAGAATGCTGTGGTTTATTTAATTGTAAGTGTAAGTTTATAATACATCAGTGTAAACAGCTTAGCATCAGCTAAAGCTTTCCCTTACAACGGCTAAAGCTTTCCCTTACAACGGCTAAAGCTTTCCCTTAAAGTGACATTAAACCCTCAGATTTTTTTACATAAAACAATACTGTAATGTGTGCCTTATTGTAATCCATGGTTGTTTCCCTTCTCTTTGCTGCTCTTCCTTTTAAATCTGTATCTGTTCTCATGCTCTGCAGAACTTCTGTTTTGCAGCAGACTGCCTTGTCTCAGGAATGGATACACGGTGTCTGTGTATAGGTTTCTATAGGCTTGTAACCTGAGCTAGCACTACAGGAAGAGGCCCTGAGCTGAAAAGGGAAGTTCTCCCCAAGCATGAGAAGACATGAGGATTTAAAAGGAAGAGCAGCAAAGAGAAGGGAAACAACCATGGATTACAGTAAGGCACACATTACAGTATTGGTTTATGTCACTTTAAGGTAGGTCTCTGAAGCTTGTATCTCAAAACAGTCTAGAGATATAAAGTATACAGGAAAGTAATAGGAAAATATAGTAAAAGTAGTTACTATTAGATGTTTATTATTAATACGCCACATAAGAAAGATATTAACATTATTAGATGTTCAAATGCTGCCAGACCATGCACACATCCACGGGAAGTTTGCACAAAGTGTCTACAGGACGAGCACAGTGTAGGCTAAGAAAACATGAACAAAGTAAAATAAACTGTATTATTTTCTATTACAAAAAAATTGAAGCTCAGTTTTCCTTACAGTGCTCCAAACAACTGAACATTCTTTTATGAGCAGAACTAGAAATTCCCCCTAGCGGCCTCCACTCTCTTCTAACAATGCTTGCCAGAACATTAAGTTGTGGTGTTATAAACTATTGTTGTGCTCTGAATGTACATGCCCTATGTGCTATGTGTGCTCTGACTGTGTTGTATGTCTATTCTTTGTCTGCCTGCTGAGCTGTGAATGGTGTGTTGTATGTTCATGTGCCCTGTTCATGTGTGTTTATCTGACCTGACATTGCATGCATGTGTGTGTTTGCCCTGAATGTATGTCTGACCTAGACCTGTCTGTATGACTACCCTGTATGTATGTGTGTATGTCTGACTTAGACCTGTGTGTGTGTGTCTGCCCTGTCAATGGGTGCCTGCCCTGACACTTTGTACATATTTCTGACTTTGTGTGCTTGTATGTGCATGTGCATGTGTGTGTATGTGCCCCAACACTGTGGTGTATGTGCCCCAACACTGTGTGTGTGTGTGTGTGTGTTTTTGTGCGCCTGCCTCAACACTGTGTTTGTGTGTCTGACACAAAATCCAGAAGAAGTTAGGAAACATCAAGAAGAAAGTTGGTGTAAGTAGACAAATTATTCACAGCACATTACCTATTAAAATCAACATGCTAGTACTACTTGGAGAAAAGAACCCAAAGCAGAAATAATTACAGTAGCTGGAATCCATAAACTGCAGTTAATTGTAACATCAATGTAACTTATTTATATATCATTCGGCTGTAGATCCTCAAATCATCTCAGAATTTGTGCTGACACAGTCCGTCCTTCTGGAGAGTAGCTACTTTGGTTCCCCGAGGGTCCCTGTGTGTATTGTAAAGTAGCCACCGCTCCAAGCTCGCTCCCGTGATAGACTACAATCTCATGTTTAGTTTAGTAGTTTGTATTGAGATTGTAGTTTGCATGGATCAGCAGGGGATCTGTGCACAGATCTCCATCTCATCCGAGCAGTACAAAACAAAGGTCAGTTCTGTGACGTTTGTGTCCGTTCAGATATTTCTCAATCCTGTGATAAAGGAAAAACTGAACTAAACAAACCCATGTTAGGTCTATGGGCACGCGATGTGAATGGATGTGCATACATTAACATCCTTTTACCTCCAATCCGTCCTGTTTAGGTCCAAAACATCTGAACTCTTTTCCATTTTTTTTCGGACCAAGACTGGCTTGGAGGTAATCGGCTATGTATGCTTGCCCATACACTAATATTGTGCTTCCTATCAGGTTTGCCTGAAAAATTGACAGATCTGATCACAATGGCCGTATGAAAGTGGCAGTCAGTGCCTGATGGTAAATGTTTTTACAGTATGTCATCAAATAATGGAGTTCTTCTCGTTATGTATTGTTTTCTCCTTTAAACATTGCCATATCTTTTGATAGCCCGTTGAAGGTGTTGACTTATGACTTACAAACTGATTTATGGAGATAAAACAGAATTGGTTAATTATTTATTGCAAGCATGAAAGTGTTTTCTGCTTTCAGCAAAATAGGAAAAATATTCAGATTTAACTTACCAAAATCACAGAGCTTTAAGATATCAGTGTAGCTAATTAAGAGATTCTCAGGTTTGATATCTATAAAAAGAGAAACAAGATAGTTTAGAAGTCACATAATTAGGTATGTATGTATGCATTTACAAAAAGGCAAAACTAGTTATTAATAGCTTAGAAGCTGCACAGGTTTAAAAAATACCCATAAAGACAAAATTGTTGCTTTTTGGTATTCAGTCCTTGATGTTTAGGTATATCAATGCATTACACCAATGTGATAAAAATACTGGCCCAACATTCCCTAATGACCATTTAGAATACCCTTCTCTTTTTTAAATAAACATTTCACTTGCACACAAAAAATAGTAAATGCAAGAGCAGCAGAAACATTGCACAAACATACTGTATGCTTTATAAAAAACAAAGTTATGTATTTATGTAATAGACTTCTGGTTGTTTATTACACCCACTGGCTAATTCCTTCTGTTGAAAATTCAGCTATGTGTCAAATAATGGGGAAAGAGGCCAGCTAAGCAGTGCGTGCCTGAAGCTTCTCTTTGACTCATGTGATATCTGCTCCGTCTCCTGTGCAAAGAAGATATCTGCCCCATCTCCTGTATATAGAAGATATCTGCTCCACCTTCTGTGCATAGAAGATATCTGCTCCATCTTCTGTGCATATAAGATATCTGCTCCATCTCCTGTGCATAGAAGATACCTGCTCCATCTCCTGTGCATAGAAGATATCTGCTCCATCTCCTGTGCATAGAAGATATCTGCTCCATCCCCTGTGCATAGAAGATATCTGCTCCATCCCCTGTGCATAGAAGATATCTGCTCCATCACCTGGATATAGAAGATATCTGCTCCATCCCCTGTGCATAGAAGATATCTGCTCCATCCCCTGTGCATAGAAGATATCTGCTCCATCCCCTGTGCATAGAAGATATCTGCTCCATCCCCTGTGCATAGAAGATATCTGCTCCATCCCCTGTGCATAGAAGATATAGAAAGTTGGTGTAAGTAGACAAATTATTCACAGCACATTACCTATTAAAATCAACATGCTAGTACTACTTGGAGAAAAGAACCCAAAGCAGAAATAATTACAGTAGCTGGAATCCATAAACTGCAGTTAATTGTAACATCAATGTAACTTATTTATATATCATTCGGCTGTAGATCCTCAAATCATCTCAGAATTTGTGCTGACACAGTCCGTCCTTCTGGAGAGTAGCTACTTTGGTTCCCCGAGGGTCCCTGTGTGTATTGTAAAGTAGCCACCGCTCCAAGCTCGCTCCCGTGATAGACTACAATCTCATGTTTAGTTTAGTAGTTTGTATTGAGATTGTAGTTTGCATGGATCAGCAGGGGATCTGTGCACAGATCTCCATCTCATCCGAGCAGTACAAAACAAAGGTCAGTTCTGTGACGTTTGTGTCCGTTCAGATATTTCTCAATCCTGTGATAAAGGAAAAACTGAACTAAACAAACCCATGTTAGGTCTATGGGCACGCGATGTGAATGGATGTGCATACATTAACATCCTTTTACCTCCAATCCGTCCTGTTTAGGTCCAAAACATCTGAACTCTTTTCCATTTTTTTTCGGACCAAGACTGGCTTGGAGGTAATCGGCTATGTATGCTTGCCCATACACTAATATTGTGCTTCCTATCAGGTTTGCCTGAAAAATTGACAGATCTGATCACAATGGCCGTATGAAAGTGGCAGTCAGTGCCTGATGGTAAATGTTTTTACAGTATGTCATCAAATAATGGAGTTCTTCTCGTTATGTATTGTTTTCTCCTTTAAACATTGCCATATCTTTTGATAGCCCGTTGAAGGTGTTGACTTATGACTTACAAACTGATTTATGGAGATAAAACAGAATTGGTTAATTATTTATTGCAAGCATGAAAGTGTTTTCTGCTTTCAGCAAAATAGGAAAAATATTCAGATTTAACTTACCAAAATCACAGAGCTTTAAGATATCAGTGTAGCTAATTAAGAGATTCTCAGGTTTGATATCTATAAAAAGAGAAACAAGATAGTTTAGAAGTCACATAATTAGGTATGTATGTATGCATTTACAAAAAGGCAAAACTAGTTATTAATAGCTTAGAAGCTGCACAGGTTTAAAAAATACCCATAAAGACAAAATTGTTGCTTTTTGGTATTCAGTCCTTGATGTTTAGGTATATCAATGCATTACACCAATGTGATAAAAATACTGGCCCAACATTCCCTAATGACCATTTAGAATACCCTTCTCTTTTTTAAATAAACATTTCACTTGCACACAAAAAATAGTAAATGCAAGAGCAGCAGAAACATTGCACAAACATACTGTATGCTTTATAAAAAACAAAGTTATGTATTTATGTAATAGACTTCTGGTTGTTTATTACACCCACTGGCTAATTCCTTCTGTTGAAAATTCAGCTATGTGTCAAATAATGGGGAAAGAGGCCAGCTAAGCAGTGCGTGCCTGAAGCTTCTCTTTGACTCATGTGATATCTGCTCCGTCTCCTGTGCAAAGAAGATATCTGCCCCATCTCCTGTATATAGAAGATATCTGCTCCACCTTCTGTGCATAGAAGATATCTGCTCCATCTTCTGTGCATATAAGATATCTGCTCCATCTCCTGTGCATAGAAGATATCTGCTCCATCTCCTATATATAGAAGATATCTGCTCCATCCCCTGTGCATAGAAGATATCTGTTCCTTCTCCTGTGCATAGAAGATATCTGCTCCATCTCCTGCGCATAGAAGATATCTGCTCCATCTCCTGTCTATAGAATATATCTGCTCCATCTCCTGTATATGGAAGATATCTGCTTCATCTCCTGTGCATAGACGATATCTGGTCTATCTCCTGTATGTAGAAGATATCTGGTCCATCTCCTGTGCATAGACGATATCTGCTCCATCTCCTGTGCTTAGAAGATATCTGCTCCATCTCCTGTCTATAGAATATATCTGCTCCATCTCCTGTATATGGAAGATATCTGCTTCATCTCCTGTGCATAGACGATATCTGGTCTATCTCCTGTATGTAGAAGATATCTGGTCCATCTCCTGTGCATAGAGGATATCTGCTCCATCTCCTGTGCTTAGAAGATATCTGCTCCATCTCCTGTGCTTAGAAGATATCTGCTCCGTCTCCTGTGCTTAGAAGATATCTGCTCCATCTCCTGTGCTTAGAAGATATCTGCTCCGTCTCCTGTGCATAGATAATATCTGCTACATCTCCTATATATAGAAGATATCTGCTCCATCTCCTGTGCATATATGTTATCTGCTACATCTCCTGTGTATAAAAGATATCTGCTCCATCTCCTATACATAGATGATATCTGCTACATCTCCTGTGTATAGAAGATATCCGCTCCATCTTCTGTGCATAGCAAATATCTGCTCCATCCCCTGTGCATAGAAGATATGTGTTACATCTCCTGTATATAAAATATCTTATAAATTATCTGCCCATTCACATAAGAATGGAGATTAAATGGCTGAAAGGACACATTTCTGAAGCACTTTTGCGGCGACCGACACCAGTTCCCAGGGAGCAGCAGCCATGATCTTGGTTTAACCACTTCAAGACCAGGACGTACAGGGGGTTAAAGAGTAACTCCCCTTTCATTGAGAAAAAAATCCTCTGGGTGATCAATGTACCTTGCAAGGATTTTTACCAAACTTTGTTGCATATTCTGACCTTTTTTTCTGTTCTGAAGAAAAAGCTGTTTGTTCCAACATGTGCTTTACAAGCTGATTCCTGAATGGGAGGGTCTGCGTTCATTATAATCAGCAGGTGGGCTTCCTGTGTTGTAATGAGGAAAGGTGCAGTGTCTGTATCCCTTTAGTAGTAAATAACCCTTAGGGAGTATCTCACCAGAAATTAAATTCCTATTGCCAGGGATGCCTAAAATTGTATTGTATCTTAGTGGAGTGTATGTTAAAATCAGTGAGTTAATCACAAAAGCAGGAAGTGACATTTCTGGGGGACCAACTGTGTACCATATGGCATTGAATATTTTGACAGTTTTAGAAAATTACAGCTACTACATTTTTAAAAACATTAAATTAATTGTGTACCAATTATATATATGCTATATTTGTTTTTATAAATACTTCTTTTTTTAAATTGGAGTTTTGATTTAACTGCAGCGGAGACAATTCAGGTCACCAGTTTGGCTAAGCTGTATGAGAGGGCTGTGTAAATGACAGGGTTGGATAGAAATACAAATCCTTTGGGAGGCACAACAGTTCCCATATATGTATTTTAAATTTTAATTTAGCTGTTTGTCTGAGTTTAACTGTTTAGCAGCATTTCAAGTCCTTATTTATAGTTATTAAATAAATAAATCTTTCATGTAAGATGATTTATGTTTAGGTTTTTTGCGTATTTAACTTTATTTGTGAAGGAGGATCAATATACACCCCAAAGTAATTGGCAAAGTAGACAAGTGTTACACATTCTGTCAGCTCTTTGATAAATGTATGTGCCTAAGGTGATTTGGCTAGGATGAGCTCTATAGCTAACTCAATTACCTAACCAATAAAGAATGTAGCTCACATTTTTTTAATATATTTCATTATTTTTCTGTGCAGTGTCATCTGTTCTCACTTTTGTAATTTTTTGGCTGTTTGGCTGTTTTTGGACATTTTACTATCGGTTTGTATATTTTCTTTTCCGACTAAATTTTTATGCTTCGTAAGCTCACAAAAACCCATAAAAATGCAATTTCTACAATGTTATATCTCTAGGTGAATTGCCCTGGAAAATACCTCTACATTTCCACTTCAAAAATTTACTACCTGTTTCCAAGTAAAGATGCCCATACACCTGCCGATTATCGTATGATAATCGCGAGTGATCCCGCGATCGTACGATAATCAGCAGGTGTGCGACCATTTCTACTGTACGGTCGCAAGTCTTTTGTCTTCCGAGCACGCTTGAAAACGGGTTAGTGGCGTGCTCGGAAGACAAATGCCGAACGTGCCGTGCAATGATCAGCATTGCGATCATCGCAAGTACGATCTGCCTGTCCAAGATGGGGATATCGTACGAGATTTGAATTACCTTACAACCATCGCACAACGAAAGTCGTGCGATGGTTGTAAGGTGTATGGCCAGCTTTTAGACTAGAAATGCAACTTTCAGAGAACTTGTCTCAATATCTACTACAAGATAAAAAATGTAACTTTACAAAGTGAATATGCTTACATACGATCTCTAAACAAAGACTGACCTATCTAAAATGTCCATGAATTTTCAAGCTGCACTGCTGTTTGATTGTCTTTGAGCCAGCCTTTCTCAACTAAGAGGCATGGTACCCCAGGGTGTATTCAGGCTTCTTCAGGGGTGCCTCAAAATTTTCATACAGTGTCATGTCTTTCCATGTTGCAGGCTGGCCACCAACACCATGGAAAAGAATGACACTAATACAAGGAGGGTTGGATCCATTCAGAAAAGCATCTACATTTTCTTTCATCCTGGCTTGATCCACCTACCTCCATCTGCCATGCTGCAGCTCCTGATATGATGGGGGGACTCTGATATTAAGGGGGGGGGG